TGAGGTTTATTTCCCTTTCCTCCTATGTATTCAAAGAGAAACAGAACAAATCCCTAGGCACACCTGAGCATAGTCATCACTGTACTAAGTGAGGCAAGCTGGCTCCAACTCCTGCTGTTGAGATACATTTTTCTACATGTAAAATATATAGTGCTTGACCAGTGTATAGTTAATTATCCATTATTTTTTACATAAAGGGCCTAGTTCCATTGAAGACAATAGCAAAATTCCTAATGGCATCAGTGCATGCAGGATTGGTCCTGTTATTATTTGCATTAATCCTTTTTAATGTAATGTTTTGAAGATAAGTATAAAATAGCAAAATAATAGTCTCTTTATTCCTCATCTGTTACTTCTATTGCTGAATTAACTTTAAGATGTGTTGTTTGAATCTGAATATCTATTCTGCAATTAGTGGAAGCTCCAACTTAAAATTTCCATTAATTTTAGTGTGTACAAGAGTCAGTACATCTGTGTTTGTTGTGTTTTTCCGTTTTGTATTTACTTTTACATGACGTTGGCAGCTATTTTTCATTTGCTGGCCAGTTCTATAAAATTTAACTTTTGGGTATCTACATTGCACTCACACTGGAAGTGCACCAGGTGAAACTGGTGTGGTGGTGTGTAAGAGGCATAGGGCCCATCATAGCCATAAGGCCCATCATCCTATACTACAGTTGTGATCTTGGGGTGATAAGGACTAGCCAGCTAAAGCAGTATGTGGTGGACACAGCTAGGAAGATATTACAAAGAAGGACTAGAAGCAGCAGTGGTAGGGGGAAAATATTGTCCAACGTATGTCAAAAGTTTTATAACGATATATATTGTATAACTCGTAGCTATCAGAGCATTAGAAATTTTTCAGATTTTGGAAGAGAAACTTTTTCTAATTTCTTCTCCCTCCCGTTTTCCATCAGCTACGCAGATAGTTGAACTGTTTTAAATTTCTAACTCCCAGGGGGAAAAGAATCAAAACCCATAATAGAAAATTCCCCAAAACTGTTTTTAAATGCTGACCAACTTTGGCAGTGATGCTGCAACCAGGACCTACAAAGCACAGACTAGTAAAGGAATATCAACTTGAATCCAGGAATGTATAACAGGACGAAAGTGAAATCTTCTGTGAAGAACATTATCCATGTAAGAGGCAAGGATTTTTTTGTGGCACTATATCTTTCATTGGACTATCTGCATGGTTGGAACAGTTAGACAAGCTTTCAAATGAAAGGCATTCTTCATTGCATTCTAAAGCTTGTCTAACTTTTGTGCAATTGGTCCAATAAAAGATATCACTCCCCCCAAAATCCTAGCTTCTCACATAATTCCTGGACCATCACCACTAATACAGGGGTTCCCAATCATTTCGGACTCCCCTCGTTAGACTCAAGGCACCCTGTGGAAAATACCAGCTTTTAGTTTTCACTCTTTTTTTTAACAACTAAAAATATATATATAGTTTTTCTGTTGTCAAGAGCTCAGAAAGCCCATAACAGGGCAGAATGGTTTAAGTACCATGGATCCGTTTCTGGGTTTAGCTTGTGAATCATGTTTGCACACCTAACACTGTGCAGCACCATGTGGCACCCTAGAAAGGATATCAAGACAGTATAGGCCATGGCAGGTTTGGTTGAGCATCAGTGCTGCAACATTGTTATGTATTTACTCATTTTCCTAGGTGTGTTGTCTTCTGGCTGTTGGGAAGAGTATTTGTGTAGGGAGGAGCCACCTGGTTGTGGTTTGATCCCCACCCCACTATGCCCCCAAGCACCTAATGGTCTGTAGGGTAGAAAGTGAGTTTTCACCAAGGTAAAAACACCATGATACCCAACACAGACAACCCATCTCTGGTGGTGTGTCTGGATTGATGGTGTAGTGCAGGTGTAGGCAACCCCTGGCATGAGTGCCAGAGCATGGCATTTTGTTTGGCATGTGTGCCTTGGGGTAGACAGTGGGAGATGGGCCCCGGGCTGCACTGCCACAACAAGGATTGGACCCCTTTGCAGCTCTCCTGCTGTAATCCCCTGGAACACCAACATCTTATACAAGTTGAGGTTGTGGGTATTTTTGGCACTTTGCCCAAAACTGTTGCTGGCCCCAGTGTAGTGACTGTAGCTTTGCTAAGAGCTTAAACCAGTGGTTCTCAACCTTTTCTGGCCTGGAGGCACCCACCATTGGCCCAGAGACACCGCTCTATAACTGCGGTGACTTGAGTGGCGCATTTTCAAACCAAATGGAGACATTTCAGTGCTGCCTGCTTTACCAAGGGGCTTAGCTGTACCCGGGTGGAGGATGATCCAGGCAGGGACAAGCCCAAACCCAAACCCAAACCCAAACCCAAACCGGGCTTTATCTCCTTACACCTCACACCTCCGGGCACCCTCCTAAGGACTTCGGAGCACATTGAGGCGCTGAGACCCGCTGGGTCACACCCCGGGCACCTTTGGGATGGTTTCCATGGGTTTGGTGCTGCCTCAGGCAGAAACTTGGCCTGGATGCCCCCCCCACCCAGCTCCCTTCCAACACTGGAGTGCATGAAAGGGGGAAAGGGGCGCCCCCTCCTGCCTCCAGCAGCACCCCAGGTTTGGTGGGAAACCCATGGGTTTCCATGGGTTTCTCAGGCAGAAACTTGGCCTGGATGCCCCCCCCACCCAGCTCCCTTCCAACACTGGAGTGCATGAAAGGGGGAAAGGGGCGCCCCCTCCTGCCTCCAGCAGCACCCCACCGCCCTGCTCCCGCCCAGGGGAGCTGTG